TATTGCTGCTGACCAGTGCCCTGCAGAAGGCTTACATCTCTTTTCTTCTGTAGCCTATGAAACAAATGCTCGTAATACCAGAAACACTTTTAAAACTCATTTAATTTTTTTAATGCCTTATCCTTAAGCTGTTTGCATATATAAGGCAATGACTCCAGTAAGTATACCCTGTAGAGAAAACTATCAGAATTTTGCCCCAATTTTGGTTTAAAGAAATCTCTGTGTGCGCCTTAGTATGCCTCTGCATGTATCTGTCAGCAATAAATGGTTCCTTTACAGGGTACAGATTCTAATTCCATGAATATGAGTGCTTAATTTCATGGAAGATCATAGGAATTAGAGACATCTTAGACATGCATGAACTTAAAAGAAAAAGAAGCCCTTGACTGCATTTGTTGAGACTATAGGTTATGATTATATTCAGGGGCTGAAAATTAAGCATGCAAGAATAGTACTCTTCTTGAATTTTTGGAAATCTGTTGCCAAGTGGTTTAGGTCAGCGACCAAGTACATAATGAATGATACAGATAAAGTATTTGGCTCGTATGTTCTCCTCTGATAAAAGAAATGGGAAAGCAAAAAACAGCTAAAACTAACCTGGGTCATGGTAGACAGACAGCAGTGGTTTTTGTAGTGTGTTGCCCGTTTCTAAAGATCCCCTGGAAACTTGCTGCGATAGAAAAGTCATAAAAAGATGGAGCTGGGTGGTAGTAGATTTTTGTTATATCTTTCCAATTTCCATATCCAACCCACACCCTCCAGACTTCCAAGGATTTATCTACTGAAAATAATGCCAAACCTATTCCATTAATGTGTGGTTAATCTGCAACCTTCAAAGAGCACTCACTCTTCATCATCAGGAAACAAGGGTTGGAAAGAGACATTACCTTCTGTTGTCTTTGTGCTGCCGTAAAACTGTTTCTGTTGGCACAAAGACCAAGTAAACAGATGTTCATGTCATTTGTTGCGCCACAAATGACCAAAATATGTGCCCACAACAAAGGTGGCATTAATATGTACATCTTTATTGTAGCAGGCATCCTGCACAAGATTGGTTCCCTCAAGCCCCATGATAGAGGAAATCTCAGAGTGCCTCTCTCTAAGTAGGAAAAGCGAGAGTTTCCCGTTTGCCAAAAAGTCCCTTAGAAAATCATGGGACATATCTCTGCAAACAGGAAATCCTAGCTTTCCCTGCTTACAGACACAACCCAGAAATTCCCTTGGGGTGCATCTCCATAAGCAGGGAAAGCTGGGCAGAGTCTTTGGGAGCTTCAGGGGCCCAGTCCTATGCAGGATTGGGCCCCTCAAACACCAGGAGAAGATGTGGCCCCTTGTTCCACAGCATGAACAGGTGGGACAATGGGTGATGTGTTTTGCCTAGAGAAATAGAAGCATAGAAAATTAGGGTTTGAAGGGACCTCAGGAGATCATCTACTCCAACCCCCTGCTCAAGGTAGGACCATCCACAACCAGATCATCCCAGCCAAAGCTTGGTCAAGCTAGGTCTTAAAAACCTCCAAGGATGAAGCTTCCACCATCTCTCTGGGTAACCTGTTCCAGTGTTTTACTGCCCTTCTAGTGAGTAAATTCTTCCTAATATCTAACCTAAACTTCCCTTGCTGCAACTTGAGACCGTTGCTCCTTTTCTGTCATCTGCCACCACTGACAACAGTCAGGGTCTATCTTCTTTCAAAACTCCTTTGGGTAGTTGAAGGCTGCTAGTAAGTCCCCTCTCAGTCTCCTGTAAACTAAATAAGCCCAGTTCCCTCAGTCTTTCCTTATAAGGCATGTCCCCCAGCCCCTTCACCATTGTTGTTGACCTCTGCTGAGGGTGCATTCTGTACCATTTTCCAGGTCATTGATAAAGATATTTAACAAAATCAGCCCCAGGACCAGTCCCTGGGGCACTCCACTTGATAGCAGCTGCCAACTAGACATCAAGCTATTGATTACTACTCTCTGAGCCCGATGCTCCAGCCAGTTTTCTCTCCACCTTACAGTCCATTCATCCAGCCCATACTTCCTTAGCTTGCCTGTGAGAATGTTGTGGGAAACCATATCAAAAGCCTTGCTAAAATCAAGGTCCTCTGGTCTCCCTGCATCCACAGAAGTGGTCACATCATCATAGAAGGCAATCAGGCTGGTCAGGCATGACTTAGTGAATCCATGCTGACTGTTTCTAATTACATTTTTCTCCTCCAAGTGCTTAGAAATGGATTCCTTGAGGATCTGTTCCATGATTTTTCCAGGGACTAAGGTGAGGCTGACTGGCCTGTAGTTCCCTGGATCCTCCTTTTTCCCTTGCTAATATGAGCACTATGTTTGCCCTTTTCCAATCATCTGGGACCCATCCTGATTGCCATGAGTTTTCAAAGATGATAGCCATTGGCTCTGCAATCTCATAAGCCAACTCCCTCAGCACCCCGTGCATCTTGTCCCACCCCATGAACTTGTACACCTCCAGCTTTTCTAGATAGTCCCTAACCTGTACTTTCAGCACTGAGAGCTGCTCACCTTCTCCCCAAACTGTTGCCTGGTGCAGTAGTGTTGGAGCTGACGTTGCTTGTGAAGACTGAGGTAAAGTAGGCACTGAGCACTTCAGCCTTTTCTGGATCTTCTGTCATAAGTTTGCCTCCTTCATTCAGTAAGGGATCCACACCTTCCCTGATTCTCCTCTTGCTACCAACATACTTGTAGAAACCCTTCCTGTTGCTCTTCTTGTCTGTTTCTGGCTGCAACGCCAACTGCACTTGATCCCTGCATGCCCAAGCAATGCTCATATACTCCTCCCTATTTATTTATTCAATTTTCCACTTTTTATAAGGTTTCTTTCTGTAATTTAGTTTACTGAAGAGTTCCCTGCTAAGGCAAGCTGGTCTTCTGCCATATTTGTTAGTCTTCTTGCACATCAGGATGGTTTGTTCTTGCACTCTAAGTAAGGCTTCTCTGAAGTACAGCCAGCTCTCCTGCACTCTTCTCTCCCTCAGACTGGCTTCCCAGAGGATCCTGCCCATGAGTTCCCTGAGCAAGTCAAAGTCAGCTTTTCTGAAGTCCAGGTTCCTTACTTTGCTGCTCTCCATCCTTCCTTTCCTCATGATCCTGAACTCAATCATCTCGTCACTGCTGCCCAAGTTGCCATCCACTATACTACATTCCCCACCAGTTCATCCCTGTTTGTGAGTAGCAGGTTGAGAAGAGCACAGCCCCTGGTTGGCCACTCCAGCACTTGCACCAGGAAGTTATCCCCTGTACTCTCCAAAAACTTCCTGGGCTGCCTATGCACTGCTGTATTGCTCTCCCAGCCGATGTCAGGGTGATTATAATCCCCCATGAGAACAGGCCTGTGATCAGGAAACTTCCACTAGCTGTTTGAAGAAAGCCTCGTCCATCGCTTCGTCCTGGTCTGATGATGTATAGCAGTCCCCCACCATGACATTATCCTTGTTGCTCTCCTCTCTAACCTTAACCCAGAGACTCTCAACAGGCCTGTCTCCAGTTTCATACTGGAGCTCTGAGCAATCATATGGCTCTTCTACATAAAGTGCAACTCCTCCTCCTCCTCTTCTTCCTTGCCTGTCCTTCCTGAACAGTTTGTACCCATCCATGACTGTCCTCCAGTCATGCAAGCTACCCCACCAAGTCTCTGTTATTCCAATCACATCATAGTACTGTGACTGTGCAAGGACTTCCAGTTCTTTCTCCTTGTCTCCCAAGCTCCATGCATTTGTGTACAGGCACCTGAGGTAACGAGTTGATTGCCCTGATTTCTCAGGAAGTATGAGAGCACCTCCCCTGTTCCTGCCTCCTGCTTGCTCTTCCCCCGGGTGTCCTGCTTCCTCACTTACCTCAGGGCTTTGGTCTCCATCTCCCGGTTAACCTATTTTGAACCCCTCCTCAGTAGGTTATTGAGTCTGTCTGCAAGGATGCTCTTCCCTCTCTTCATCAGGTGGATCCCATTTCTTCCCAGAAACCCTTCTTCTTGGAACAAATGGATCTGCTGTGCTGGGACACGTCCCAGCATAGCTGATCTGCTTCTTTTGGTGATATCTATTTCTAGCCTGTGACTGCTTTACTATTTTGTGAAGTTCAGTCTAGGAAAGCATTGGGTTTCCAAGCAAACACTCATCCTGCTCTTCATTCTTCCTAAAATGGGACATCCAGATATGTGTGTCCAAACACTGTCCAACTACCGGATTGTAAACACTGTTTGCTGATAAAATTAGATTATTGATATTCAGTGAAATGAACTTTGCAGTTTCATTGCCCTGGGCAGGTTTTCCCCATCCCAGGCCATCATTTAGTTATAAAAAAAACACTATCATTTCTGTTTTTCATGTTCTCAATGGGCCTGCTTTCAATAAAACAAGATTTTTTTTTTCTTACTTGGCTCCAATCAATAAATAAAAATTGTAATAATTTCAGCAATCAGAAATGAGCATTGGGTCCAAGATTATATATAGAGTAGTTGAGATAAAAAAAATATAGTTCCCTATCTGATGATCCACTGGTGTATTTTATATACTGAAACTAGAAAGTGAAGTTCGCATGTCTGTCAATATCCTCCATGTAAAAAAAGAATTCAGTTTTCCATTTCCATGCATATACGCATATATGGAAAAATCCTGGCACAAACTATCTGAAGCATCAGTCGTAGAATTATATTATATGAAAGCATGAGAGAACTACTTATGAATAATTTAAATTATGCGAGATACCGGAAAACAAAAGATTCTCTTTAATGTGTTTTAGTTCCAAACTGTTTATTGGTGTATAAAATCAATAACCAGATTCCTTTGCAGTCCTTCCTACATTAAACATAAAATCTAGCACCAAAAACAGAGGTAGATTGCAATAAAATGGCCCTAAAGCAATAGTCTGTTGAGAAAAGCAGCACATTTGGCAGCTCAGAATTTGACACTGGGCAAGCTTGAGTCACTAACTCACTGTTGTCTACTTTCTTGTGAGGACTTTATGGTATTTTCTCTCCTATTTTCCTACAGATTGGATGAGCTAATCAAAAAGTTTCTTGAAGATACTGATCATGAGAGTACACTGGATGTTGGACCTGATATGCGCAAGATCAAATACTGTTTTAATCATATAAAGGTATGTACTCTACCTGTGTAAGGATGTATGGAAAGCCCCGCAAATGGACTGAAAGCATTAGAGGACATAGGAGGAAAGAACTGGAAACCAGTGACAAAGTTTTGGAAAACAGAGAAGTGTGTGTAGAGGCTCAGCAGGTCTGAGAAATTCATGGCAGACTGGAATAGATTTGAGAAATAGATGGAATATACTGTTAGGCTAGGAACAGATGTTGCATTTGTCCCTGGACAAGTTGTAGCTGTGCTTATCCTGAAACAGAAATATCCTGGGATTGGATTGTACATGCATCATCCTTCTAATCAGGGTTTAGTGAGCAGCTGAATGCACTGCCACTTTTCTGCCATTGATTCAGTGATGCGGTCCCAGGATAACTCTATAGATATATTTTGCAATATCCCAGGATAAATTCTTTGTACCTCTTATTTTGGAAACTTTTTAGGACTTACCTTTGAACATGGGTGTCTGTATGATTGTCCTCTGTCCCCGGACAGCATTTCCCTTGGGATAGACAATTTTATGTCAGTTTTGCAGTAACGTATTAGCATGGCTTTTTGCCTGGAACACGACTTCGCAACGTTATTAGGCTACTGTGCAGTTAGCATCTCATGTAGCTGTGCCCACTGATTTACAGTCAGCCACTGAAAGGATTTTCCTTTTCAGAGATCCCTAAAGGGACTTTCAAGCCTGTTAGCCCAAGTAGACAGTCACACAGCGATAGGGGAAATGAACAGAGTAAGAATATTATAAAAAGAATATCCTTTTTTATTTCATAGCAACTGATGACTCATACAAAGATTCTTGATAAAAATCTTCTTGCACCTGACATCACTGGAGACAAGAATAGTTCAGTGGGGAAAGAGGAATTTAAGAAACTGAGAGAAATTCTTCAGCAACGAGACAATGAAATTAGTATCCTTCATGAAAAGAGAGAATTTACACTTAAATTGATCTGGTTACAATCTGAGGTGGGAGTGTATATGAAGTGGAATTGTTCCTTCCTTCCAATACTAATATACTAGGCAAGTTTTCAGTTTTCTCTCTCTGTTTAGCAGCGTCCCAACTTTGGACTAGGTCTTGTTTCAGTTCTGGACCAGGTCAGAATGCTGGATCTAATTGTGCCTGAGCTTTAGGAGGTTCTGACCGAGATCCAAACATGTGGGTCTAGAAACGTCTCTGCAAGCAAATGAAAATGTGTCTAGAATGGAAAACTCTGATACTATATAAAGAACAATTTATTACCTTACAAAGAATAGAATTTCCTGTAAGTGTTATTTTTAGCCAAATGAAATGCTTCTTTGGGGACTACTGGACTCTGCCTTTAGAATAAATGTAAAACTTGTGTACTTTACATGCAACTTTAAAATTTAAATTAAAGCTGGAGCTTTATTCTATGTGCTTTATTTAAAAAAATAAACTACTTAGATGTGCTTTGTCCATTTTACTGACTCACGGGAAAAATTTGAGTAGCTGGAGCCTAGCAAGATGTAGAAAGGGCAGTTATTTTTAGCTGGTTGACAGAATTGCAGGCAGACCACAGCGTTACCATGTCCCTGAGTTAGTAGCTGATCTGTAGGCAAAACTTGAATAATGGAAGAAAATTGGCAAATAATATGTAAATTTATGGAGAGCAGAGATGCTTTAGAATTCAGCTTTATTAAAAAACAAAATTAACTGCATTCTTTGTGTTCAACAGTTCCACATAAGTTTGGTATTTTAAATGTGAGTGGGTTCTGCTTCTAATTGATGCTTTATAGTGATGAAGTTAAATAGTAGGAACACTTCTTAGTTCCTGCTGCATCCAGCACCGGAGACAAGATGGTCATTGTAAAGAAAATTGAGGAGTTAATTTGGCTATAAACTTGGCTTAGAACACCTTTTAGCTTTTAACCTCTGGATCTACCAGAAGTGTTGCTTCCTGATATAAATCATTATATTAGTTTAAAAAAAAAAACTAGTGAAGCAGCAACAAAACACATACCAAATAGTCACATACACTTGCGCCAGATGTACACACATGGCTTTGTTTGTATAGGTACAGGGAGGACATATCTGTTGCAATAGTCAGTTTTAATCAGAGCTCCACAGATTTAACTTTTAAAGCTGCATGCAGACATTAAAAAAAAAGAAAAAAATATTCTTTGCCGGAAGAAGTAATGTGTTACTTTGACCCAGCTCCACACTGTGTGTATAGATTGGGTGCTTCAGTGGGACTTTTTAATGCTTTTATCTAGTATCTGATTCAATCAGCTATTAGATAAAAGCACTGAAAAAGCCCCACTAAAGCATGTGATCTATATAGATGTTTGGCTAGCTGGGTCCAGTGAGCATGATGCCTCTGTTGGGCATGCGCTGGGCTTGGCATGGGGGCACATGAAATTTAAAGTAAAGCATGGTTTTTTGGGTTTTTTAAACATCTGCAAACAGCCTAAGGTTCCAAGTTAAACTCAGAACTTGTTTATTAGGCACAAGAAGTGGATATTTCAGCCTAAACAATTGTACAATTTACAACTAAAATGAACACTGTGATTGCTGGAATGAAGGTATTGGAACTAGTAGTTCTGTCATTTACTTATGAGAGTTCCCGACTACTTTGATAGTTTCTAGCAGCTATGATAAGAATAACTTCTTAAGGCAAATCATTTTTATACCATGTCAACTTGATAATATTCCTCAGATATTGCCCAATTTTTTAGCATGCATTTACCTGATACTTTTTGACACTCTTCATTTTAATCTTAATGTATCTCATAGGGATTCAAACTACCTGACTGATTTTTGCTAAATGTTAGCTGAATTTCACTGAAAAACCTTTATGGTCCTTATTTAAAATATTTGATACCAAAAATCTTTTTAATGACTATGTAGTATAAGTGGCAGGTGTTTATTTAAATCCATGATTTGTGTCCTTTTAGGCCTTTCTTTTATTCTGTGCTTGTCAATACACCTCTGAAATTTCAGATTTCCAACCTGCAGTTTAAGCTTGGTATGAAACTTGTAAGGCATAAGATAATGTTTCAGTCTTGTGGAATAATAAAACTAGATAGAATGTCACCTATTTAGAAAGAAAAATTAGATTTTAACATTTCAACTTGTCAGCAGGGCTTGAAAATATTTACTACATTTATCAAAGCATTGATTGAGTAGGATAAATAGCTGTGGCCAGTAAGTGATTTTACTTATGCTCACAAGAAAATGAATTGACTATTGGGAAAATGAGTACAAATACATATACTTACAAAATATGCTACTGACTTTACAAATTTATATTCACTTGAATAAATTTTGCATATCTAAATAGTTCTATTAGATTAACAGGGCTACTTGCATGAGCAAGGGTTTGACAGTAAAAGACTAATATTGTTTTCAGAAAGGCAATACTAGGTAATTTCCTTAAAATGCCCTGCAGATATTCTAGTACACATGTTAAAGAAAGAAAAAAAGAAAGCACAAGATTTCCTCTTTCAGCTCAGCATTGGCTCTAGTGATCATACAACCCTGGAGAGTTCTTCTGTAAGCTTGGAGGAAGGTGAGAGAATATCTACCTGTGATAATGTAAAAGAGGCAAAAGATTTCAACCCTTCAATACACAGAGCTTCTTTTCTTCTCAGGCGAACAGGTTAGTGAAATTAATTTTTCATACAAGTATCTAGTTTTCACATTGTGACCTTTACTACTGCTGTCGTTAGCCAAGCCAAGATCCCCATGCAGCTGCTCCTGCAGTCCACAGCTGGAGGAAGGCAGGGAGAACTCTCTAACTTCACCATCTCCCCCTCCCCCAGCCCTCCCCACACCCAGCTGCCTGCATCAACTAGAGATAATGGCAGGAGCAGGGGGTAGGTTACTCCTTCCACCACCTGCTCCCAACCACTGGAGATCACATTTGGGGAGCAGCAGGTGCAGAAAGAGGAAACCCTCTTGTCACTGCTGCTGTCTCCACAGTACCTTGTACAGAGCTGTTGTCTGTGTCAGCAGCAGAGCGGGAGCTGCTCTGGGGCACCCCTACTCCCAGGTCAGCTGGGGATGGCAGCAGCAGTGAAGAGGGTGCATTCACACCAGTGCACCTCCCTGGATCCACCTTTTGTCAATAGCAATGCACAGGTAGTTTTCAATAAACAGTCATGAATCATGTGTTAAAGAACCTACTAAAGCTATGTATAAAAAAGACAATGGCTTTCTCAAGATTTTTAAGCAATAATATGCTCAGGAACGCTGTTAAAGACAGTAGGGGTTTGTGACTGATGCAGTAGCCTTGGGCACCGATTATGAGGGAGTGCAAGAATAGTAGCTGCTGTCACCACTGCCTGCCTGGCCACTGCAGCTGCTGCTGGGCTCAAGATGCAGAAGCTGCTCATCACGCCTCTGGTTGAGGATGCTGTTCATTATATAATCCAGGAAACCACATCCTTCTTAAGTGCTTTAAAAGGAAAAGGGAAAACCATGCAAATTGATGGAAATCAATCCAAGCATCATTAGTTGCATGAACTCTTTTAAGAGACAACCAGTAAGTTTCAAATTCTTTCTTGCCTTTTCCTTCAGTATAAGAGAGTAATTTTTCTTCAGTTGAAAAAAAAAATTTAGTTCTGCTTCCAGCAGTATCACATATCCACACACAAATCTCAGTTGAAGGCCTTAACCTTTAAGGATATTATGATTTATTCTTAGTTTTTAAAGTAAGCATCCCTGGTGTTCCACATAATACAGGGCAACCCTTGGCTTTACCCAACATTTTTCATAAGACATTGTAATAGTCTTTATTGTAATGTTTTTTATTAAAGCTAAAACAGTCAAATAAACTCAGGCCTCAATTCAACAAATTCTTTCAACAGGTGACTAACTTTATAACCGATGTGAGTACCACTATTAATCTTAACTATCTTATTGACTTGTGACCAAAGTACACAGTAGTGGTGCCCAACCTTTCTGAGCTGTGAGCCAGATTAGGGGTGGAGGGTCAGTTCCTGGGCTAGATCCAGTGCATGGCATCAGTCTGTGGGCTTAATCTAGCATGGGGTTTACAGGAACAGTCCAGCACATGGCTCCAACCTGCACACTGGAGTGGGCCCACTGCTGTGCCCCATATGCTCTGGATTGGACCCTGGCTCTGGCCCCACATGTGCTAGATCGAGACCTAGCCCCATGTGTACTGAATTGGATCCACTGACTTGGACCCAGTCCCAGCCCCATGAGCACCAGACTGGGCCCACAGCCTCAGCCTTGGTCTTGCGCATGGCAGATCAGACCCAATGGCCCAGCCACACATGCCAGCCCAATCTGGTGCACAAGATCATGCTGTCTGGCCATGGGCTTGGAAATATGGTGGTGGGGGAGCAGTGGCAGCATTAATTACCACTGCTGCTGGATGCAAAATTTCCAGACATGTGGGGAGCACCATGGGCCAGATATTACTGCTCCACAGGGCAAAGTTTGAGTAGCAGTAGTATGTAGGAGCAAAAGCAGAATTCTTGTATACCCCCACACCTCTGCTAAAGAGGATGTTTTGCCTTTCTCTGTAGCAGAGGTGTGGCCCTCTTCCTTGAATCACTGGAATGTATTTTAACAAACCTTGCAGCAGCAAGACATTGGCTACCATTGTCCCCCTGGTTTACCTATGGCTGGTTACAGTCTTGTGCCTTGTGGTTGTGTCAGGGATGATGGTGTAGTTTTACTAATGGGCTAGACAAAGGGTTTGTATAGGATGGTTTGGATAGGCCTTGCCTCTGGCAGGGGGGTGAACTAGATGACCTCTGAAAGTCCCTTCTAGCCTACTTTTCTAGTATGCAAATATTAGAGCTTTCTGTGAAAAATGTTTAAATTACTGTGGAGAAGTTTTCAAGAATTGTTATCTTACCCAAGTTAGGAAAAGCTGAATTTACATGAAAATATATATATTTAATATACCCTGTACACTAAAAATACCTTTACCATATGAGGATGATCTCTTCAGAAAGGCTGTTTCTCCTCTTAACAACTGAAATAGAATTTTTAAGAATTTTCAAGTGAAGCTAGTACAGTGGTTTCTGTACTTTCTTCTAATAAGCAAGGTTTTTTTTAAGAGTTTTTAAGAATAAGTATGCATTGTGGGGGCGGGGGTTCACTAACATTTAAGCACATACTGTTACCCAATTTTTTAATTATTGTTTTATTTGGAACAGATGGGGGACACAGATAGGGAATGTTCACATCATGATGGAACAATTTCTTGGGGAGTTTTAATTAATAAAAATAAGTATAATTGACTCATTGCTTGTGGGCATGTGGAAGAATAAGTCTTAAGAAAGCATCTGTATGAGGATAGAGGACAGTGGTTTGGCATGGGACTTCTGGAATAAGATTATAGATCATAACATACATTCTAAATACCACCTTCTTGTCCTGGGGGTAGTTATAGGTTTTCTTTGTTCTTTCCAATTCTTTTCCTACCAAATGACAAGTATTCTGTCTGTAACATTTAAAAAATATATATTTACAGAACTGTTATTTCCCTAGAAGGTAGACAGCTCAGCAATGATTGGAAAGCAGAAGTTAAATCTGAATGTTCCATTAGGTTCACAACTTTGTTTTATAATCAGTCAGGTAAATCCCATATTTTCTCATATATAATATGCACCTTTCCCCAAAAAATCAGCCCCCCAAAATTGTACGTATTCAGCAGGGAAGCTGATTTTCTGCTGAGGATAGAAGTACCCTGCTTTGATTCCTACTTCACAGGGCAGTAGCTGTAGCTTCCATCTTCAGACAGCTGAGGGTGGGCTCATTGTTTTCACTTCAAATAAATTAACAATCATCTCTCTTTTTGAATAGTTTCTTTTTTGAATAGTTCCACTAATCTAGCTAACCCTTTTAAGGGCAGTTTTTCTTCCTGCTGCCCCTGGTCTCTCTGTTTCTATTTCATAGCCTTGGGGAGACTCTTTAGTGCTTTTCAAAATCTTAGGTTTATCCATGGAAACCAACCTTCAGGAGCAGCTAAGATTTTAAGTGTAAGGGGAAAAGGGAGTGTGAGTTCACCTGAAGTTTAGGTTCTGTTCCTGCTCTGTACAGCTATAACTCTGAACAAAAAAAAAATCTTTTTTTCTTCATTCTTTCTTTCAGAAACAACATGTGTATTACATTCTAGGGTGTGTTGTATGTGAAAAAATATGGTAAAATTCTGTGTAAGAATTGTGGTAGAGTGAGTTTAGACACTACTGCTTTTGGCTAATCAAGGAAAGAAAACATTCCCTTTTATGTGTAGGGTGATGTCCATTTCACCCCTCTCACTAGAGTCTGGTTATTTTATTAATTGGAATTTTAAAATGTTCCTTTCTGGTTAACATTTGTATTTTCAATCTTTCGGTTTTAAAGCAAAATGAAACAAAATTCATGGCTCACTAGATAATTTTCATAGTGCATAGGCTCTTTAAAACATTCAGCCAAGCCAGAAAAAGGTTGGGGATTTTTTCTGTTTTGTTTTGTTTTTTGATTAAATAAATGTCTGTTTTTGTTTTATTGAAATAATGAGAGAGCCTGCATGTTCAACTCCAATGCTGAAAAGGTCCATATTGTTCTTTTTAAAATAGCAGTGGTCTTAGTGTTTTTATGTTTTTTGAGTGTGTGTTCCAAATAGTCACCTGGAACTATTCAGCTTTCCAGAAGTCCCCAGATGACTCATTGAATCCTTTAACCATTTGAGACTTTAACAAAATCAAGCCATGCTCCAAAGTAATATCAAAAGGAATTTGTAAAGGTACATCAAAAGCTAAATCTACATCAGAGTTGAAAACTTGGATGAAAAATTGTTATTGTTGCAGAGTAATTAGTGATTCCTCTAAAACCTCCTGACTCTTTAAATGTATTAAAGGATTAATGCTGCAACATTTTTATAGAAGGATGAAGGTATATGTGTGTGTACATGCATCTGAGAGAGCGAGAGAGAGAATTAAAAATAACTTGATGGGCTGATTGAGAGGGAATTATAGAAATGAATTTAAAACCAGAGGATTCTTTAATAATATCTAGGTTATGAGGCAAGAAAGATACCCTATCTACTCTCTGAGAGTGCTGAAAACTACTAGTGTCCTGTGAGTATAATGTAACTGGAGCCATCATATATAAAGAAACAATAGTTATACTGTATTCTGCTGTTATTTGTTACACTGCTGTTATAGTTCTATCAACACCTCCAAATAACTTCAAGTTCTTTTAGGTTTATACTAGCAACAAGAAGAAGAAAAATAGTTGGTATAGAGAAATATGTGTTTGTGTGTGCTGACTGGGAGGGGGCTGTACTATAATATCCTGTACAGATGATTTCACTAATTGTTATATTTGACACGATCTAAAAAGTTTAATCACTTTGATAGAAGATCAGAATCTTTTAATATGAAACCATTAATAAGATAATTTAAAAAAAAGTTTGTACACACAAACTAGTCATTATAATTAAAGGACCAATTCAAAATTAAATATGTATAATGATCTGCATACATTTGCATACGGTTATTTATATTCAGTTTAGAAATTTGCACATACCCATGGCAAGTCATGTTCCTACATTCTACATGAGGTATTACACATATTAATTTAAGTGTGTGGGAATATACTCTTGTGATTAAAAGATTTTTCTTTCACTCAAAGAGG